GGGGGAGGGTCAGAGGGAGAAGCAGACTCCCCGCCGAGCAGGGAGCCCGATGCGGGACTCGATCCTGGGCCTCCAGGATCATGACCTGAGCCGAAGGCGGCAGTCGCTCAACCAACTGAGCCACCCAGGCGCCCCGAGCCCGTGTTCTTAACCCACTTGAGTGGCAAAATGTTTAGATTCTGGAACCCCACCCCACCCCTGCCAAAAAAGGTCCATGCATTGCAATCACAACTCCCCGAGACAGTAGACAGTCTGTGAGCCTTTACTTTCAATCTGGTTTAGTCCCGTTCGAGAGGAATTGGAAAAATTTCGGAGAGACTCTGGCCTCAGACCTCCGTTGTCTGGAGTCAGACTGTGAGTTAGAAATGCTCTACAGAGTAAGGACCACATAGGTGGCAGGGTTTTTCCTCATTTCCCAGAGTTCAGAAGTCTTTAGGGATCTCACCTCGCCTGCAGAGAGTTCCAGTGGGAAAGGCGGGTTAAGGAGCAGAAGTGGAGAAGACAGATAGCACAGGCATTTGTGTGCTGAGTAATAGGAAGGGCAGACTCCCCACAGGCCAGTACAGTTGGGAGCCTGGGCTTCCATGTCTTTGACATTTGATTTCTCTCTACCCACATCCAGGAGGCTCATAGGGCACACTGCCAGGGGCATGAAGGCCCAGGGAGCTCCATGGTCACTCCTTGGCTTTTGATGAACAGAGAGTGTTGCGACCATTCCGGTAGAATAGTCTGGAGCAGGGGTCAGCAAACTTTTTCAGTGAAGAGCCATCAAGGAAATACTTCAGGCTTTGCTGGCCATGTGGTCTCTGCATAGACAGTACATAATTGAATGGGCATGGCTGTTTCCCAGTGAAATTTTATCTATAACAACTGGCAGTAGACCAGATTTGGCCCACAGGTTGTAATTTGCCAACCCCTGGAGAGAGAAAGACCACTGGCTTTGGAATCGGCCGCCCAGGGTTCAAGTCCTGCCTCCACATTCATGAGCTGTGTGACCTTCGATAAGGCCTTTCCCTGAACTCCCCGTATCTCAGAGAGCTATGGTGAGAATTATTGGAGCTTAGCACCTGCACACACACACACACCAAAGCAGAACAAAAAAAAACATGGTCGTGCCTGCCACATGAGAAGTGCTCTGGAAATACTGGCATTTAGTATTACTGTCCCTTGGGCTGGAGTTTCCTCATCTGTTAAATGAGGATATTATTAGCACCTTTTACCATAGTTGGAAGGATTACATTCAGTAACAGGAGTAGGTGAAATATTTGGCATGAAGTGGAAACTCAGCGTGAGTATTATCCTTTAGAAACGGGGAACAGTTTGCCTTTCCAGGAACCTTAGAGGAAGATTTCACACACACACGAGCTTTGGTAAAGGTGGCAGTCTTCTCGGAAGTCAAAATCCTCTTGGTTGTCCTCAGTATCTTATGTGCGACCCAGCAGAGCATGAAGAGGGTTGGGGGTACTTGGTGTGCTCTGTTCCCCTTGGATGAGCCCCTTGCCCAAGCCAGGCTCTGCTCACTAGACCCAGGACTCGGCTGGTGGTGTTCCCCAGCGTCTTTGTTCACACCCTTTCCCCTGATTGGGGTGGCCTCTTCCTCTCCTAATCCATGGACCCACCAAGACCCCATGAGACACTTTCCCTGCTGAGGAGCCTGTTCCTTACAGCTCTTCCCCACAGTGAAGCCCTCCTCAGAACTCTCATTAATTGTCATCCTTTGATTGATAATTATTATTTGCTGGTAGGTCTGTTTCTTCAGCTAGACCAATAGTTTGTTGAGGGCTGGGGTCATGTTATGCTTCCTGGTCTCCCTCTCACTATCTTCCCTTTAGAGAGTCCACAATAAACACCAGTGGGCTGAAAACTGGCTTTCTAATTGATGCAGATGCTGATATATAGTAGACAAAGAGTCTTTATTCTGGGAGCTATCCACTCTTGTGACGTTTATTAACTTAATGGAGCTCCACAAAGAGAATTGCCCTTAAAGAGCTCACTTAGGACAGAAAGCAGTAAAAGTAAAGAATATTCTGGGCCTGGTCCATAAATCCTTCCAAGCACACTCCTCCTTGCTCTTCCGTCACCTCTCTGCTGAATGGAGAGGTCTTTGAGGACCGAGAGAAAGAGGGAACCACTAAATGAAAGGAGCCTAGAGGGATCTCTGAGGAGCCTCTTGGAGGAGAACAGAGCAGGAGAGATGCCCGGGCAGGAGGGCCACGTCGGGCTTGCATGAGAACGGAGCGTTTTCAGCGTTGCGTTTCAAAAGTGTACACACATTCACACGTGAACACACACAGGCATTCACACACATACACAGATTGGCCGTGCCTCCCGTCACTTGGATGTTTGCACATTAGAAGAATCACCGTAGGGCCCTCTGGGAGCCAGGCATTGCCTTCACTGACGCTCAGTGTGATCTGAGAATAATTGTGCACCCCCAAATCTACAGTCTGTGATTAGCACTTCAGAACGACGATCTAACAGTTTTCTCCGTGTGTATAGTCAATATCCGCTGTGATTCCATCAGCCTCAACGCTGTTTTTCATGTCGGTGTTGCCTCCCACTGAAAGGTTTGGCCTAAAACCCATTGTAGGGAATCACCATTTTCTGCCCACTTGACTCTCAGAGCCGGCAGTTCTCCCCCACCCACCGCCCCAGGATGTGAGCGTCCTACTGTAAGATTTCATTCCAAGCTCAGCGGACCGTCCCTCTAACGAGGCTGTGGTGAGGTGGGACCGCTGTAACGTCCCCTGATCTGGAAGTCGTCCATCAGTTCAGCCTTGCAGCACCCAACCCTGAGCTGGAAAGCGGGCCAGGAAGGCCTGATCACAGACGTGACCCCCCTCAGGCCCTCCGATCACTCTTACAGATGCACACGGTGTTCTTTAGCTCAGTGACCTGCTCCCCCCGACCCCGCACCTCCCCCACCCCCCCGCCGTAACAAGAAGGGAATGATACAGATAGGGGGAGGCGGGAGGTGGGTGTTAGAGATGCACACAATGAGGGTTGTCAGCCCTGAGCGGTCACCGGAGGCGGGGGTGGGCACAGGAAGACAGTCAAAAGACGTGCCCAGAGAATGACTCTATCACGTAACACAACAGAAGTGTGCGGGGTGAGCCTTCAGTCCACGGGAAAAGTGCATTTCTACTCTCCAGTGTGGTTCAGGGAGTGAGAAAGTGCACGTCCCGTGCTGCAGTTGTCACTTGGGGCCTCTGCTGGGAGAGCGCGGCTGTCACGTCTGTGGGTGACTGACGCCCAGCCTTGTTTTCTCCTCCCCTGTGAGCTCAGAGGAGGGCGCACAGACACAGGCCTCGCCCTGAAATACCTTCTGCGCAAGGGGTTCCCCGGGGGCAGAAATGCCTCCGTGCCCCAGATCCTGGTCGTCGCCACCGACGGGCGGTCCCAAGGGCAGGTGGCGCTGCCCGCCGAGCAGCTGAAGGAAAGAGGCGTCACCATATTTGCCGTCGGGGTCCGGTTTCCGAGGTAAGAGCCCGGGTGGCGCTGGGCCGCCCTGCAGACTGTGGAGACTCTTCACAGCCACGGGGCGGGAGGGGATCCGGCCCAACCACCCTGGTCCTTCCCGGGCTCTGTCTTTTCCTCACTCTCTACGTCGGGCCGGAGCGCAGGGAGCTCGAGTCTGAGAGTGCGCATTGTCTCTAGTCCGAGCCAGACTGTCTCTTGTCAGCGCCAGAAACCTGACTCAGATTCTCTGGGGCGGAAATGGAAAGCCACGGACTCCTCTAATTGTACTGGGTGGGTCGGGGCGGGGGGTCCCCTGGGGCGAGCAGGAGCCAGGGCCTTGAACGCCGTGAAGACCCTTTCTGTCCTCCGCGCGCATCTGCCGTTCCCTCAGCCTGGCCCTCAGAGCGACCTGGAACGTGGCTGCGGGCAGTGCCCAGCTCCACCCCGGAGAGAAAAGACTCCCGTTTGCCGATTCCAGTTGAATAATCCAAGAAAGGCTTCTCATTAGCTTGAGTCACAGACCCGCTCCGGAGGCCAGGAGAGTGGGGGACTGTGACGGGCTGCTCTTCTCTCCAGACGCTGGGAGGTGCTCTCCACGGGTCCTCACTGCTCCCAACCTTAAAATTGGAGGTGCCTCTGTGGGCCCCTCGTTGTCGTGGGTATTGAGTGAAATGACTCTGGTCCTGGTACTGTGCCCGCACATAGAAATCTCTTTATTAACTTTAGTACATTTTCGATTCTCTCAGTCAATAGATATGCCAGATGCTATTCTAAGTTCTCGGGATGCAGAGACAGTACCAGGTGCCTGCCCTTCACGGAGTTTCCATTCTAGGAGAGGAACTAGATGATAGATGAGTGAATAAACAAGTAATGTCCTTTCAGGTGGAAATAAAGTGCAAAAGAGAAAAAGTAAGGGAGGAGGTTAACAGAGTGATGGGCATTAGCGAGCCCCGCTATTTTAGAGGAGTTGACTTCTGAGCAGAAACTTGAGTGAAAGGAGTAGCAAGCCTTCCAGACAGCAGGGAAAAGAACAGGCTAGGCAGGCGGGTGGCAAGCACAAAGGCCCTGAGGCAGTAGCTAGCTTAGTGTGTCCGCCAGGGAGTGTCTGGAAGGCGCAAACAAGGGGTGGATTACAAGAAATGGGGCAGAAGAGGTAGGTGGGAGTCAGGTCTAGAGACTGTGGGTCAGAGTCAAGACTTGAGAGTTTATTGCGAGTAGATTGGGAAGTCTTTCGATGACTTCGAGCTGGGAAATGACATGTATCAGCTTACTGTTTTACAAGATGACACTGCCTGCCAGGTAGAGAATAGAGGTGGAAGGAGAAGCAATTTTGGGGGACGTGGGGCATCGAGTCAGGCAGTCTTTGGAGCTGCTCACACAAGAGGTAACAGTGGCGTGTAGTGGGGAAGCACTGGGAGCCACTGAGGAATGGTCGGAGTGGCCTCTGAATGGAACGTGGAAGGAAGAGTCAAGGATTTGGGGTTGAGCCCCACAGGGAAAGGGGGTGTTGTTTCCTGAGATGGGGAGGACTGGGGAAGAATCAGGGAAGCAGAGTTCTGTTTCAGGCCCAAGTTTGAGGTGCAGATGGGTCAAAAGCTGAGTCAGCAGCTGGATGTTGGAGTCCGGGGCACAAGAGAGAGGATAGACAGAGACCTTGTACTTGAGGATGGCATTTATCGCCTGAGGACCGCCTAGGGGGTGAGCGCAGAGAGGGAAGACCCCCACGGACCGGCATGTGCAGTACCAAGGGGACATTCCGGGCCACGTCCTGGTGGTGCTGACGGTCGTCACCACTGTCACTGTGCTGTTGTCTGTTACTGGTGGCGAGACCGCCTTACCATGGGCTCTTTGTGTGTCCTCACACGTGAGGAGATAAACCCGGTGAGAGAGGAGACGAGGGTGTTGCTTCCTGGCTCACCAACCCCCCCACCCCCCCACGGTGCTGAATAGACTACCGTGCACGTCACAGCTGCCCAGTTTGTTGGTGAGGCTGGAGCCTCCCAGACGGTGGAAATCCGTGGCCAGTTCTGGGCTTTCTTCTCTAGCTGCTATAGGAGCAGTGCTTCTCAGACCGTCTGTGGCGGGGGTCCAGTTTGCCTTGCTTTGTGTGTTAATCCATTGTGGCCTGAGACTTTAGAGAAATACAATACAAACGAACTACTAGGAAAGTAAAATAAAAAACAAAGACCCTGAGCTCAAATGTTGACTATCTGATTCAAGCAAACCGAGAAGGACTCCGTCAAGTTGCTGTACAGCTAGGTTCTGAGTGTTCATTCTCAGTGTCTGTGCTTGTCTGGTTCTGGACGAGGGTGAAACAATATGGCAGCCTACACCGGCCCACACACCACACTTTGAGTGCCCCTCACTTAGAGGACTCGAGAAGCCCTGGGTCAGGAGAGGGGACACTGCTCAGCCACAGGAACCGTCTGAGGAAGCCCATTGGGTTTCCAGGCCCTCCTGACTCCTCTCACCCAACTGCTGGTCACGGGCCCACACACCATACTTTGAGTGCCCCTCACTTAGAGGACTCGAGAAGCCCTGGGTCAGGAGAGGGGACACTGCTCAGCCACAGGAACCGTCTGAGGAAGCCCATTGGGTTTCCAGGCCCTCCTGACTCCTCTCACCCAACTGCTGGTCAAAGGCCGGGTCACTGTTGACCAGTGGTTCTCAAAGTGTGTTTCCTGGACCAGCGGCATCGGCAAGTGAGAACATGTTAGGAACATACACGATCGGGCCCTACCCCGTTGAATCCAGAACTCTGAGGCGAGGTGCCTCCATCGGCAGTTTATCTGGCCCTCAGTGATTCTGATGCCCCCCAAAGTTTGGGAGCCACTGCTGTGGGCAGGGTGAGGCTCTGTATGGGATCAAACACCTGCCTCTTTCCTCCTGGTAGTATTCATTGAGCCCCTTCCCTGATGGTTCTCAGCTCTGGCTTTTGTGAAAATGTGCTGCTGGGCTGGGAGAGCGGCCCTCTGAACGCGCCCCCCCCCCCCCCCCCCCCGTGCGTGCCAGGTCCTGTCCTCATCCTGGAGGGAAGGTCTGGCTTCCGTGGCTTCAGAGGGGAATGGGGAGTTTTACATAAGTGAATTTTAGAGATAAATGAAGTTTCGGCCACAACGCCAAACCTTGGTTTGTTTGGATGAATTTCTGATGGGCAAGATTCTAAACGCATTACTGACTACCCTGTCTTCTCAGAAAGCTTTCTCAGCATCATTTAACGCTTTCTTCACGGCCCAGGTTATCATGCCACTCGCCATTTCTGTCTTGGGCCCTAAGAGCAGTGCCCTCTGGCTCTCAAAGTGTGCTGGCTCCTTCCTCCACACAGCCTCACGTTGCTGGCCTTTGAGTTCGTACGTCCCCTGTCTCTCATTCTTCAGGATTTTTCTCTGTCACAAGCTGGCCTTGTTTGTTCTTGTCTTGCCACCACGCACAACCACTTTCCTTCATTTCCTTTCTGGTTATACTCTTCTCATCGGCTCTGGGTGACGCGGCCAGACCACTGCATCCGTGAGGACCGTGTCTCCAGTAAAAGCTGCTGGATCTGAGGGGGAGGCTTTCCTCCGAGGGAGTTGGTGAACTCTGGCAGGCACACGTTAGGACCCATGCTTGAGCATCCTCGGGGTCTTGCTCTGCTTCACTTCTGGACCATATCTGCAGCCTGGCTGGACTCTGGAGCGGTGGGGTCGTGTTGCTGTCTGCAAGGAGCCCATGGTGCAGGGTGTATGGTGTAGGGTGGGCGGGAGGGCGGGGGGTGGGCAAGGAGCGGCTCTCACTTCTCCGCTGGGGCCTGGGGACAGGTGGGAGGAGCTGCACACACTGGCCAGCGAGCCGAGGGAGCAGCACGTGCTCACGGCCGAGCAGGCAGAGGATGCCACCAACGGTCTGTTAAGTACCCTCAGCAAGGCTGCTGTCTGCACCTTTGCCTCTCCAGGTAAGGCCTTCCAGGCTGGGAAGGAGGGGTCTTGCCCTTGGTGCAAGTGGGGTGGGGACGGTTCCCCGAGGCTGGAGGTCAAGAGGCTCCCCAGGAAGGTGGAAGGCAAGAGGAATGGGGTCTAGCAGCTTGGGCGCCGGGGTGCTCTGCTCTCCCGACCTCTCTGTGTCGGGCCCTGTGGGCTTTCTCAGCTGGGAACCCTGAGCTTGTGTCTGGGGGATAGAGGGGCCCAGGTTTGGGACCCAGATCTAGGGGTCCCCTGTGCCTCTCCCCTTCTCAGGGGGAAGAGGCAGTCAGCTCCCCAACATGGTCAGCTTCAGCTGGGGTGAGGTCTCTGCATTCCTGGTTGTCATCGTCAGGGTCTACCCAGGAGCATGTTATGTAAAAAGAACACACATGTGCAAGGATGTAAAAGCTGTGTGCGGAGGAAATGCTCAGAGCCCGGCCGCCTGGCCAGTGCTGAGCAGGGGCCCTGCCCCAGTGTGCTCTGCCCTGCAAGAGGCAGAGGGTGGCCAGGGTCGAGGGTGATGGAACCATGGCTGGGGGGAGGAGGCATAACCCTGTCTTCTCCATCGGTGTGCCCTGCGGACACAGACTGCAAGGTCCAGCCTCACCCCTGTGAGCGCAAGACGCTAGAGACGGTCAGGGAGCTTGTGGGCAGTGCCCCGTGCTGGAGAGGATCGCGGGGGACCGAAGCCGTGCTGGCGGCGCTCTGTCCCTTCTCCAGGTTTGTCCTCGTGGTCTGGGGTCAGAGCCGGGGGGCGTGTCTGGGTGGAGATGGAGGCTCACGTGCTGCAGGGAGAACAGCTGTTTGGGGTCTTGGCCACGGAGTGTGACAGGGATCAGACCTGGGAGGGAGACAGGGACAGAGTTGTGGGGTCACAGGGAGGGTCACAGCGACACAGTGGCAGAGTTTTGTAGACCCACTGCCCAGGTGCCCGTAGTGAGCGAGGGTGACAGGGTCACAGCTGTTCTGGAAGGCTCATAGATGAGGCAAAGCCAGTCTTTATAGGGCTGTGGTCTGGACTTGGGATAGTGGTCTGGTAATTTGGTTCCTCTGAATAGTAGTTTCCATATTTACGGGGCTGGGCGAGGCAGAAGGCTTAAGGTGTTGGTTGAATTCCAGCTGGGGAGGCCATGGGGGAATGCAGTGTTCATCAGAGCTGAGCTCAGGCATTCTAGAGCACCTGCTGCTCGGTGGTCAGCCATTTTCTCAAAAATTCCTGGACTGTCCCTTGGCCCTTTATCCAGACTTCCTGCAGGACAGCAGGTCAGCAAATGGTGATCCCATCCTCTTGCCTTTCCTGGAGAGCCAGGGGTAACGTTTGAACCAGCTGCATCTTTGCCCCTCGGCCTGCTCTCGGTGATGAGCTCAGGAGACACAGCAAAGAAATGGATTGGCTGAGAAGCCATAAGCCATCGTGCTGGGCTGATGGGGAGTCCAAAGACTGTCTTGGCAGGGAAGGGCCGTGCCCTGCACATGGGGCAGAGGAAATAGGGCTGTGTCAGAGGCCGCTAGAGGCCCTCTTCAGAACCCAAGCTTCCAAGTGAAAGGAGGCAGTTTGTTTCCGACTGAACGTGTTCCGAGTGCCCGCTCTGAGTCAAGCAGCGTGCAGTGAGGAGACAGGTACAGATGCTTCCCCCAAGAAGCTCAGGGTCCAGAAGGGGCGTTGGACAAGAAGACCAGTGACCACCGTCAGGTGTCTCAGGTGCCAGGATGGGGCCTGTCCTCCCTGGGACATCATGGAGAAGGGGCTGCTTGAACCGTCTTGAAAGATGGGGCAACCCAGTGGCACCAGGCAGAGGCGTTTAGAGTTGGGAGCCCCAGGAGAGGCTGATGGGTAAGGTACACTTCATGGCTTTGTGCTCAGATTCTGGAGTCAGGCTGCTGAACTTCTAATTCCAACATGGCCACTAATGAGCTGGGACCCTCCCACCACCTCCTTCTACATTTGAAAGGGAGGGCTGTGGAGAGCAAGCAGAGAATTAATAGGTAGTGTGCACTAACAGTCAGGCTTCTGGAATGATGCCTACTTATACTAAGCTCTTCATCAATTCCCTCATTCAAGAAACACTCACTGAGGGCCTCCTCCGTGCCCAGCACAGTCCCAGGTCCCGGGGAATCGGCCTGAATTCCTCAGAAACAAATCTGCCCTCATGAGCTGATACTCCAGGGGCAGGAGGCAGCAGTAAATACAATGAATGCCTAAAACAAACTGTTGGGTAGTGCTAAGAGCTACAGAGAAGAATGGAATGAAGGGATGGGTCAGGGTGGGGGTGGGGAGGTGGTGGTTGGGAGCAGGGTTGCAATTTTAAATAGAGTGGGCAAGGAAGGCCTTGCACAGAGTCCAGACCTGAGGGAGCCCAGGAGGGAGCCATATGCACATCCAGGCAAAGTCCTGTGGCCAGTCTCTGCTCCAACAACGCCGATTCCCCGTGCAGGACTGGGAGGGGTCCACAGAGCTTTCTGGGCTAGGACTTGCAGTTTTATGAAGTCACTAGGAGTAGATGTGGAGAGGGAGAAGCTTTCTCTTTAATGAGCTGGCAGCTTGGCAAACTCCTGATTGCAGCAACTCCTTGAGTTTTGTAATTGACTTGGCTTTTATCCCCAGTGGATGTTTTGCTCCAGGGAAGACTCTGCCCTAGAGGTGAGCCTAATTAGCCTGCCCCAGTGGTGGGCAGCCTGGGGGAGTCACACAGCCAGAATCCACTTGCCTAATTCCCACTATTTCCTGCCCCCCACCCCCACCCCTGCATGGTGCTAGCCCTGGAAAGTAACTCAGAATAGAAAGCTCTTCTCATAGTTTATAGAATTTTGAGCACAGATTATTTCCAAATTCTGACATGATAGCCAACTTACATTTTTTAAAACTGTTCCTGGGTAGTTTGAAACATTCCCCGCTCTGTGTGCAGCTAAAAGCTGGGGTAGAATCAAAGAAAACAAGGTGGTCTTTCTTGACCCCTATCTGCATAGGAATCTTATATTAGCTTTTAGCGTCTCAAATAACCTTCCAGGTTTCCGCATTCCTGTTAAACTTTTGATCTCTACCATTTGCTCCCTTGGGTTATAGCTGGAAGAGAGTGTTCCTAACCCACCCTGCCACCTGCTACAGGACCACCTGCCCAGGTACAGTCTGCCTCTTGGATTCTCTAGCTCTTTCTGGGCCCTGGGACTCAGCTGGCTTCTAAAGGGGCGTTTGCACTCCTGGGGCAGAGGGCGGAGTGGGAACCAGCTCTGGGGCGGAGAGACAGGCATTTCAGGGGCAGAGAAGCATGCCCCTACTGCACTCATTCCTCCTTTGCTCAGTGGTATTTTTCACTAAGAACAGAGTGAAGACTTTGGAATCGCCTTCCCTAACCATTGCCCCTTGCACTGACAAGAGGCAGAGAAGAGCGCGCATTGAGCACCAGCTTTGCAGATAGAAAGCCTCACATCCAGCACCAAACTCTGGGCCACTTAAGCCTCAGTTTCCTCCTCTATAAAACAGGGATAATGGTTGTCCCATGCCTGGAATCCCCATTTCCCTGCTCTGTATGATAGGTGGTATCATAAATGGGATCCTAGTGGGAGATTCAGTAGGTAATGCCCACAGAAGTGCTTCATCAGCTATGAAGTCCCAAGCAAACAGGTGGACTTACGAATACCATTAGGCATCATTCAGCCTGTTCCCCAGTGGGCCTCCCTGCTCCTCACCTGGGGGTCCAGTGCATCCCACTGACCCGGGAGCAGAGAAATTACACTCCAGTGTGTTGGCATCAGTCCTTTATGGATTTGCTTCTCCTGATGAGGCAAGGAGCACATCTCCTGGGAGCAGAGCCAGTGGTCCTTCCTACCGTGGGTCTGGTGATCTCCTTGGCATCCTGTTTTAAAGTTCCCACATTGCTGGCTTCTGAAACACAGGAGACACTGAAAGTTGGGTTGTTTCTGCTCAGCAGTTAAAGTTTGAGCACCTAAGGCTTTGGAACCACAGTGACCTGGGTCTGAGTCCCAGCTCTACCCCTTCCCGGCTATATGATCTTCATGTGACTTCTAGTCCTTGAGCTTCAGTTGCCCCATCCAAAATGAGGCGGCCTTTAGAGGACGCACCTCATCGGGCAGTGAAATGAGATCATGCATGTGTGGTGCTTAACACAGTCCCTAGCACAGAAGAGCTGCTCAGTTAAAGGCCGGTGTTGGTGCTGTTATCGAGCCCCCGGGTTGTTTCCATGATACACCAGCGGACAGAACAGCAGGCCTGGGTGCTCAGTGAGCCTCAATACTTTCTACCTTCAAAAACTTTAATTTCAGTGATGTGACCACCAAGTAGTAGTATATCAACATTTTTATGTACGAAGGACAGAAAATTGCCACTTCCAGTGGTAACCACACTCAGCTACTTAGTAAGCCCTTTGAATGTAAGACACATGAGTTCATGAAGATCCCATCTGTTCTCTGTAACTCTGGGAGGGAGGTCATGTGGTATTATCTGCATCTTAGAGTAACTGATACAGAGCTCAGCGATTGACCAGAAGGGATCACAGGTCACTTCAGATGTGGGCTGTGGTTCCCTGGGTAAAATAGCTCCTTTGAAAGAGACGTTGCCCAAGATTTGGACCTCACATCCAAAAACAAATACTGTCCTCACCTGTTATGGAGTGTTGGCTTCATGCCAGGCTTTGTGCTGAGACTTTCTGTGGATTAGCTCATGCAATCCACCGTGGAACAAGTTCTCATCATCCCTTTGTAGTGGAGGATACTGGGGCTTGCTGCAGCTAATTAAGGTGCCCAAGTGAGTGGAGAAGGCCACATTTGTTGGCCCAAGGAGCCAAAGGCTCCCTCTTTGGCTGTGTTGGCCTGCAGAGGCCATTAAAAACCACCACGGAGAACTTGAGGAATGGCACCTTGCACACCATGGTGTTCCCGGAGTCTCATGACATCTGTGCGGTCACCGTGATGCTACTGAGATCCTCATCCTTAGCGAGCCCGGGTCCGACACCAGTTCAGTGTCACGGCCACCTCCAGGGCTCCTTGGCAGGCGGGGGTGGTGATGAAGTCATGTCATGCAGTTTCCCGGGGCTGCCATAACAAAGTACCACAGACTGGGGGCTTAAACAACAGAAATTTACTTTCTCACGGTTGTGGGGGCTGAGAGTCCAAGATCAAGGTGTCAGCAGGTTCTGTTTCTTCTGAACCTCTCTGCTCAGCTTGTCGAAGGTCGTCCGCTCCTTGCATCCTCACGTGGCCTGCCTTCTGTGCACCTCACTGGGGTCTCTTCCTCTTCTTATAAGTCAGACTGGATTAGGGCCCAACCTATGACCTCATTTAGCCTTAATGAACTCTTCAAAGTCCTTCTCTCCAAATGTGGTCACATTCCAAGGTGCTGAGGGTTAGGACTGATACATATGGATTTGGAGGGATGCAGTTCAGATCATAACAGCCCAGGGGCCATTGGCACATCCCCTGTGAGCCTGTAGTTCACGCAGGGCCTGATAGAGCCCACCACGGCGTGTCCTTTGCACCCACACCCAGCCCCTCCTTTGTGCACCTCACTCGCTTTCCGTCCCCTTTGCCACAGGTGTGTGGCTAGGTCCCTAGCGGTCCTGGGGGAAAGAGGGAGCTGGGCCCTGGTGGGGCGGGGGGGCCTGCCGGACTCAGACCTCTGGCCAAACCCCTTCCTGAGTCTGAGCTGATGTGCTAGGCTGTTAATGGGCATCTCTCTGATAGGCGCTTGTGACTCGCAGCCCTGCCAGAATGGAGGCACGTGTGTTCCAGAAGGACGGGACAGGTACCACTGCCTCTGCCCGCCGGCCTTTGGAGGGGAGGCTAACTGCGGTACGTATGCACGGGACTTCTAAGATGGACCGTTGGGGAGCAGTGGAGCCTGGGCTCCCCCACCCACTTCCCGCCCCGCTAGTTACTAGGTAGAAATGGGCCCTTGAGGTTCAGAGCCACCTACTTCGCCAGCACACCACTCATCTGATGTTTCATGTGAAATAGCCTCTGAGTGCTCCGAGAGTAAGTAACTCCAGTGGGTTGGGGTGTGCTGGGTAGGACAGTGGCTCTTGGCTTACTGGCTTTAGAGTGGGTCACTGCTCCACCTCGGAGTGTTGCTGGGCCCAGTTATAGGCTGACCCCAGTCCGACTCTGAGACCTGGTTCTGGGCAGAGTCTCGTCTCCCCTCTCATAGGAAAAGGAGCAAGGGGCCTAAACCCTTTTTTGTTTTAAAGGTATGAGATGAAGCACTGGGTGTTATATGCAAACAATGGATCATGGAACACTACATCAAAAAAATTTTTTAAAAAATTAAAAAAGGTATGAGATGAAGATTATAATAGGGTTTACCCTGTAGGGTTGAGGAGAGTTTTAAATAAGGTAGATGTAAAGCACTTTGTAACGATGCTTGACACATAGGAGCTTGTTAAACAGTAACTTTTTAATACATATATATATATATATTCATTATAAAAAATTTTTAAGTAATCACCTAAAAAAATCTAGTGCTGGGTCAACTGGAGATGTATATGGGAGAACCAAAACTTGACCCCCTACCTCACAAGCTACACACAAACCAATTTCAGTTGGATCATAGATCTAAATATAAAAGGCAAAGCAGTGAAGCTTCTGGAAGGAAACAAAGGAGCGTATCTTCATGATTTGAGGTAGACACAGATTTCTCAAACAGGACACACGAAGCGTAAGGGAAGAAAGTTCTAGGTTACATTTTAATTTTTAAAAAGTGGTCAGATGGAGACCCGGAGGGAGAGCCGTGTCTGGTCCCGTCTAACTCCGTGAGGTGCTCCCCAGCCCCTGCTGCCTCAGTGTCTCTGGCCTGTCTCCCTCCTGGGAGGGAGGTTTCTCCTGCCCGGTAGGGTGGCTGGGCGTCTCGGGTGGGACGGTGACCTGCACGCTCCCGGTGGCCATAGCGTGACCAAGGGCCGCTGTGATCCTGGCAGCCCCCAAGCTGAGCCTGGAGTGCAGGGTCGACGTCCTCTTCCTGCTGGCCAGCTCAGCGGGCACCACCCCGGAGGGCTTCCTGCGGGCCAAGGCCTTCGTGAAGCGGTTTCTGCAGGCGTCGCTGAGCGAGGACTCCCGGGCCCGCGTGGGGGTGGCCTGGTACAGCGGGGAGCTGGCCCTGGCGGTGCCCGTGGGCGAGTACCGGGACGTGCCGGCCCTGCTCGGGAGCCTCGACGGCCTTCCCTTCGGCGGTGGCGCCACCCTGACGGGCCATGCCCTGCGGCAGGCGGCGGACCACGGCTTTGGGAGCGCCGCCAGGACGGGCCGGGACCGTCTGCGCAGAGTGCTGGTCCTGCTCACCGAGTCCCCGTCCCAGGACGAGGTGGCCAGCCCCGCACGTCACGCGAGGGCCCGAGAGCTGCTCCTGCTGGGAGTGGGCACTGAGGCCGTGCGGGCGGAGCTGGAGGAGATCACCGGCAGCCCGAAGCGCGTCCTGGTCCACGCCGGCCCGCAGGACCTGTTCCACCGAATCCCTGAGCTGCGGCGGAAGCTGTGCAGCCGGCCGCGGCCAGGTGAGGTCCCAGCGCTCCGCCGTAGTGGGGTTCCTCTTGTAAGGGGTTAACGGGGTGCATTTGTCAGAATGAATGAGCCCATACTGACACATCATTATTTACTAAGGTCCATATGCCTAGTTCAGAGTTCCTTAGTTTTACTTAGAGACCAAGGATTTTTGGTTTTGTTCCAAGGATTCTGTCTGGGACCCTACATTACAGGTAGTCATCATGTCTTCTTAGGCTCCTCTCGGTTGCCAGATGCTCAGAGATTCCTTGGGCTGGAGTGGCTTTTTATTTGTTTTTTCTTTAAGATTTTATTTGACAGCACAAGCAAGGGGAGTGGCAGGCAGAGGGAGAGCAGGGAGGCCGATGCGAGGCTCCATCCCAGGACCCTGGGATCCTGACCTGAGCCAAAGGCAGACACTTAACCGACTGAGCCACCCAGGCGCCCTGGAGCGGCTTTTAAAAACCAGTGAATCCGATCCACTTACTCCATGCCTAAACCTTCTCCCCGGCTCCCCTCTGCTGTGGAATAAAACCCGAACTCCTTCCACTGGCTTCTGAGAGCTCCCTGTGGCTGGTGCCTCAGACTTCTCTACAGCCCCTGCGCAGGGTGGAGGCGGGGGGAGCAGCCACTCAGGCCCCCTCCCTGCCTTCGACGTGCCGCCCAGCCCCCAGCTTACACTTACTCCTCAGAGACCCTGACCCCTTCTCCCAGTCTACTTCGTTGTTGCTCCTGCCGGTCCGTCTCCTGGTACCCTGCTCCCCCCACCCCCCACGCCTGCTCACGGTATTTGTGACTCTGTGCTGGTTTCATGGCTGTCTCCGCACAGACCGTCAGCCCAGTGAGGGGAGGCAGGGCCCCACTTTGTCCACTTGGTGTAATTAGCACCTGGATTATAGTGCATGGCGCATGGAAGGTGCTCAGTAATGGGATGGATGAGGGTACAGGCGAAGTTCTGTCACAGAGGGTCCCCAGAGCTCAGTGGCTTACAGATGGTAGGCGTTCATTTTTCTCACAGTTCGGAGGCGAGTGGCCTCAGCCCACAGGGTGGCTTGGCTACCTTGTGGTTCCACCTCTAGGTCCGAGGTCACAGTTTCTCAGCCAGCAGGAAGTGGGGAGAAGGGAAGTAGAAGGCAGGTAGCGTCCTTTTGAGGACAAGTTTTGGAAACTATACAGTTTCCAACCACATCCAATCAGAACTTAGACACATGGCCACACCTATTTGCCAGGGAGTCTGGGAATGTGGTCTGGCCTGGCATTCACGTGTCCTAATATTTTAGGAGAGGGTGGAGGGTGGCTATTGCAGGGGACAGCCTGGCTGGCCCAACCCAGAGCGGTCCCTCTTTTGCTGGCCTGGTCCAGAGGAGGGGCTCTGCTGGGCAGAGCCTGCCCCGAGGCTCAGCTGCGGGTGCCCACAGGCTGCCAGGCACAGTCACTGGACCTGCTCTTCGTGTTGGATGCCTCGGCCTCGGTGGGGCCTGAGAACTTCGCCCAGATGCAGAGCTTCGTGAGAAGCCTCACGCTGCAGTTTGACGTGAACCCGGACGTGACACAGGTCGGCCTCGTGGTGTACGGCAGCCGGGTCCAGACGGCCTTCGGGCTGGACACCCATCTCACCCATGCCGCGGTGCTGCGGGCCACAAGCCAGGCCCCCTACCTGGGCGGGGTGGGCTCGGCGGGCACAGCCTTGCTGCACGTCTATGACAAAGTGATGACTGTCCAGAGGGGCGCCCGGCCTGGTGTTCCCAAGGCCGTGGTGCTGCTCACAGGCGGGATGGGGGTGGAGGACGCAGCTGTCCCTATCCGGAAGCTGAGGAACAACGGTGTCTCCGCGTTGGTGGTGGGCGTGGGGCCTGTCCTGAGGGACGCGCTGCGGAGGCTCGCGGGTCCCCGGGACTCCCTGATCCACGTGGCAAGCTACGCAGACCTGAGGTACCAGCAGGATGAGCTCCTCGAGTGGATATGTGCAGGTGAGTGGGGGAGTCCCCGCCCTTCAGTGTCCCCTTCCGGGGGGTGGGGCGGGGGGGGGGAGACTCAGCCTGAACCCTCAGGTACATCGTTGCAAGGATGGCCAAACTTGAGAATTTTTGCTCCTCATTTGAACAGAAGGCCTCATTCAGATACTTACGGATTCCCCCAGGAACCTAAGGACCCGGGTTAACACTGACCTGTGTAGTGAACGACAGCGCCAGGAACACACGCAGCCAGGCCAGCCTGACCCCAAGGCATCCTTTTGCCAGCGACCTCTTTTCTGCCTTTTTAAAAGGGCATTCGTCACAGTAAACACTGCTGTGTGCACAGCACATTTGAGAGGGAGAGAGTCTCTGTAAGCAGTAGGAGAGCTGGGTGGACGTTGGGTCTCTGACCTAGCCAAGCAGTATGGGCCCCCAACCGTGTGCTGACCTCCAACCTGCTGAAGGGCTCACGGAAACACGGACATGTGTGGCCTCACCTCTGTCCTGGGCTTCCTGAGAGGAGGGGGCCTTGGGGCTGACCCCGGCTGGGCCTGCTGGGCACGTTCTCCCCTGTAGAAGCCAAGCGGCCGGTCAGCCTGTGCAAGCCCAGCCCGTGCCTGCACGAGGGTACCTGCGTCCTGCAGAACGGGAGCTACCGCTGCGAGTGCCGGGGCGGCTGGCAGGGCCCCCACTGTGGGAACCGTAAGTGGGGCGCTGGCTCTGCCTGTGGGAGCTGGGGGTGGGGGGCGGAGCTTGAGACCGCGGAGCCCCAGGGACTCCGCTGAACGCAGGGTCGAGGGCGCGTGCTCAGCGGAAGGCCTCCTGCGATGATGGTTGGTCGGTTCCAGCGCGAGACGTGGTGGGCGCCGCCTGCATCCCGGGCGCCCTTCTAGGTGCAGGGAACGTAGCGGTGAACAGACGAGGAGAAGCTCCGCCCTCCTGGAGCTCCCATGCGGGTGCGGGAGACGGGCAGCGAACGAGTACAGCTTGTAGCCTGCCGGCGCTAGGCATCGTGGAGGAAAGCAGCAGCAGCTGGGAGAGGAGGGTCTCCAGGAAGGCCTGGGTTGGGAGCGCGGTGGAGGCGGAGGGCTGGAAGGCAGGACGCGGGCAGGGAGGCGGGGAGGTGGGTAGAGGCTGGTGGAGGCTGGTAGGAGTTCGTTTTTGAGCGTTCCTCTGTGCTCGGTGAAATGGGAGGGACGGCCATCAGCCGAGGGAGGACGGGAGGAGGTGCTGGTGGTTCGAGCAGAGAGGAGTCACGGCCCGGGAGAGACGGGGTCTGAACGGGACAGTCGTGCCGGGCAGCATTAGGGGCCCACTGTGGCTCCTGCTCGTGACTCTCCAGTTAGAGGAGCTGGAGGCCGGATGCCGCTCGCAGCCTCGGGTCTTCAGCCGCCGGCAGAGCGTGGCTTCCCGAGGCCGGGTGGCGGACGGGAAGGGCAGGCAGCCAGGGCCTCTGGGCTGGCACTTCTGCTTGGGCTGGCGAGCAAGGGAGAGACGCGCGGGGGCCCACGGGCTGCCCCCTGGTGAGAAGAGGGCTCAGTCACTCCTCCTGTCCTCAAGGTCGCTTCTCTCCCAGGGTCCTTGCGAGGAGACGGCCCCGCAGGAGGGCAGCAGCCCTACCCCTCCCAGCGCCCACCCAGGAGGCCTGGGGGCCCCGGCCGCTGAGGGCACGCCTGCCCCCTCCGGTCTCCCAGGGTCCTCTGAGCGGTCACCTCCGGCTCCTGCCGGCCCCGCCCGCGTCCCTCAGCCCCACAGAGGGGCTGCCCCGACTGCGACCGTCCTGCTTGGGGATAGCCACTACGGCCGCTGCAGAAAAGCCTTGATGTGTTAAGTAAATGCTGACTTTGTGTGCCTGGGCGTGCCCCGGTGTCCTCGGTCAGCGCCCCCCGAGGACGGACAAAGGAGCTTGGAGACTTTCGATGGCCCGCTGGAAGCTCACTTTGCCCACAGCAAACGCGAAACAGAACGTCGCCGGGACGGCAGTGCTCAGGAGGCGGCGAGCACTAGTGTCCTTCGGACCCGCGGAGCCACGGCACTTCGAGACTGAAAAACCGTGGACCTTTTCACACTTTTCCCAAAGATGTGCAAGTGCATTTGCTTTCAGTTTGGGAAGGGGCTTGAATGGCATTTGTGACCGGATCTGTGGGTGGCAAAGACTTAAGAGTCCAGACTGGAATGTGACCACGAACCAGCCTGACTATGGGGGAGGGGCCGAGCGCACAGACCGATCGGGTCTCCAGGGGCCCAGTGACGTTGGCCCGGCTCCTGAGCTACAGTCCCTTGGAGGGGCTTCCTTGAGAGCTTACTTAGGGGGGGCTGATGGTGGGGTGTTTATTGCTTGCTTTTTCAGTAGGACAAGGAGGAGTGGAATTCTTAACAAAATAACGGCATAGAGACACTTAGAGGGTATTTGGCTTTTTGAAGCATCCATCTTATGCTGTCTAGGTGCTTTTGCTTTTCATGTCTAGTTTTGAAAGGAATGTTTCCAGAAATGATGTTGGTTACTTAACAGGACCCGTGTGGCAGGAAGGCTCAGCTGGGATATATTTCTGGCAAACTAGGTACTCACCCCTGCGGTCTTCAGGAAACACTTCTTCCCCTTGGTTATGTGGTTTGGATTTGGGTTTTCAGTGAAACCTTTGCGAAAGAGCTGTGACCCAAACTTAATGTAAATAATGTAAATGTTTTACCTGCAAATGTTCAAGGCTACTTTGATTTAAAGTCCTGGCAGAGGTCCTCCGAAGGTGGCGTTACACATCACAAAGGAAAGGTCATTTTCACTCCCTTACTACCTTTGCTGTGGTAGGAGGTGATGTCAAAGAACTTGAACCTTCCCGTCTTTAAATTGACAGCAGTTTCATCATTTTATAGTGTAAGCTCTTTGGGTCAGGGCTGATGTTTGGACATCCCATTTGAATTGCTCTGACTTAAGAAAAAACACACAGAAATGTGGGCTCTGGACTTACACATTGAAGGCTGTTTCTATTTTTAGGCCCCAGCCCTCGAGCCATTTTTTTTTTTTTTTAAACCTTTTCTATGGAAGGTCCCACTGAATAGTTCAAACCTCTCCGCGCCCCAGTAGCAGCAGAGGGAATTCCTTTCTTTTAAAAGAAACTGGCCTTTAATTACACAATGTATAAATACATTCTCCTTGGAAAAACTAAAACACTGCAGATAGGTCATCAATCTTTTATTTTCTGAATGATCCTGATTCCAGCCAACTTGCTGGATGCTATAACCCTAATTCTCTTTTCTAGAAAGATACTTATAAATAATCAGACTCATCTCTTCCTTTTGATGTTTATACAAGTGCTTTTTCTTGTCAGTTTGCATTTTCTAGGACCTCCAGGATAATGTTCTAAAAAGTAGTGGTATCTGTTTCTGGACCTGAAAGGATCTTCCATCATTCTATGTTATTTTCTGTGGATTACTTTATCAGGTTAGGAATACTTTATTAAAAGTGTGGAGATGATTTTCACATTTAATCTGTTCATATCATAAATGGCCCATTAGCATATTTTCAGTTGTTGAATCACCTTTGCTTTTTGGATAAACATGATCTGGTCATGATGCACGATTCTTAAAACACTATTGAATTTCACTTGCCAATATTAAGGTTTTTTCATCTTTGTCCAAAAAATGAGATTTGGTTTTTCTTCTGTGATTTGTGTTGGATATTTGGTACCAGAACTACGCTAACTTTATAAAATGGAAAATATATATTCTTCAAACTAAAGGCCTTTTTTTTTCAGTTCTCCTATTTAATTTCGCCTTAGGTTGTCTCTTCAATGAGCCAGATTTTGTCCTTTTTTTAAATAAAGACATTCATGCATGGAACTTGCTTAGTTACTCCTTAGGCAACCTTCCAAGTATTGGTACGTTTCTTTTCCCCAAGAATTATTTAGGAGTGTGTTTGTTTCACTTCTAGGAGTACGGGTTTCCAGCCACTTATCTGCAGAAACCGATCACAGGTGTTCCTTTGTGTTATCCTGGGAAAATCCTCTTCCAGCCTTACCTCCGCTGCTTGAGTTGAGGGGGCTTAAAGTCTGCTAGGATCGCACCTTGCAGTTCTACTAGTTTTTACTACACATATTTTGAACTTCAGTGTGTAAATAACCAAGATGTTTCCCCCTTAAGGTAGATGTCTACAGGCACCACCCCAAGCCATTCCATGAACTACAAGAAAACCCCAAAATACAAGTAACGTTTTATTTAAAAAAAAAAAAAAAAAAGTCTAATTCACTTGATAAAGGACACCAAGTGTATATGACAAAGGAAATAAATGCCCTGGGATTAGGAAGACAACAGAAATCAAAAGACCTTTAGTTCTCAGGAACCAGTGTTAGAGAATGCTGATTGATTGACAATCCCCAGAAACGAGGCAGGAACGACAGATGAAATGTTTCAATCGGTATTAAAAAAAAACAAAACACTGTATCAGAAGAGAGGACACAAAGAACAGCACTGCCAATTTTAGGAGGAGGACAGCATCAACCCGAACCAGAATTCACCATGTTTTTCTTGGAAGGGGCCTGGACATTAAGCAGAACTTGAACTTTTCCCCTAAAAATGGCCTGGCCACAGGACTGCATCTGTAAACGCTGGGTATATCTTTCCTCCTACGGTAATGTAAAAAGTCGGACCTCAAAAAGATACTTTTAAATCTGAAAGAGACACTTTTCGCTGTTCTAAATTACAGGATTTTAAACATTTTTTTTCTATATAATACAGCATCATTTAAAATTTTTAAAAGCAATGGATTCAAGCCTGCTTTAGGCTGAAAAGAAGTCCTTAACTTAGTGGGGACAGCACCTCAGCTTGGTCCCAAATATTCTCCCCTGTTACCTGTTTCTCAAAAAGCATGTCATGATGGCTTCACACAGGTGGAAACCACGGAAGACTGATTCGGACCTGCTAATGTTAGAGGGAAGTCGACACGTGGGTGAGAGATGACAGTCAGGAGTTGAGGTCTCCTTGCTCACCAAAGCCACACGACCAGAAGAACAGGGTCCTGCTACCTTGATTTCTTTTCCACCAAAGTCCCACCATCAGATGCTTTTCACTACTTAAAAAGCTTGATAAAGCAGTTGATGAAAACTTCAAAGAAGAAACACAGAATACCCCTAAATACAGCAATGTCTTGTTTCCATCCAGTAGCAATTAGGTCTCCAGAGAAGCCTTCCCTTTGTTGTTATTATTTCCTTTGGCTCTGAAAACAGACCGAGCCTCCTCTTTGCCTGCGCTCTCCACCCAGAGTACCAGAGTCCTTCCTTCTGCTTCTGAGCAGACTCACCTTTTCACAGAGTTGCTGCTTTAACGAAGACTTTAATGAAGCAGGATTGTCACCAAGGGCCGTGATGGCAGGAGAGTCTTTAGATGAAGCTTGTTTCCTAACTTGTTCCTTTCTTCTCCCATTCCTAGAGTGCCATTCAAATACCAGCACCGCCCCCCACCCCCCAAGAAGAGAGTTAGTTATCCTCTGTAGCAACCTCCATCTACACAGAACAAGGTCAGGAGAAATAGTTTTCTGAAGCATAGAAGCATTTCGGAATAGAGATGGCGGTTACGTTTCCACCTGTGGCTATTTACGATGTGGGGCACCTGCCAAGAAGGTTTTGAGGCTGTGGCAGAGCAGAGCTCACTGGGGTGATGTGCAGTGTCGGCCACGGAAGTGAGGGAGCAGTAGCTCAGGCTCGTGTGGACTGAGCGGTCAGTCACTCAGAATCTGTCCAGCAGGGCAGGCAGGACAGGAACCGGGAGCAGAGTTTGCCACAAGCAAAGGCTGCCCTAGGCATGTTCTTTACTGTGCAGCCGAGTAAAAGATTAAGAGCACTTTTCATCTAGCCTCGGGGAGGAGCCCAGTAACGGCCTCTGTCCTCGGCCTCTGTCCTCGTTTACACCTTACCAAGCCTTCACCACCAGTTGGCTGGGGGGCTTTAGGCCAATCCTATCACCTCTCTGAATCTGTTTCTTTCAGAAGGCCTTTAGAATCACTGACTTTTTGACTGGAAAACTGGCCAGCCTGTCTCTGAACTGAGGCGATCGCCCTGGAACCTACGCATAATCGAGTGGCGGACAGTTGCAGGATCAAGTGTCCTCAGGCTGACTGGTCAGAACGCTTGAACCCAGCGCTCGCGCCTTTCTGGTTGGTCAGAGCCAGAGACTGAGCCAAAGGCGGAGCGCAGCCCGAGCCCCTGCGTGAGAGCAGAGCCCCCTCAGAGCCGGTGCCTGAAGCCGGGGAGTGCTACCCCGGGGCAGAGGAGGGGCCCCCCCTTCGCTGTCCCCTGGTGGCCCTGAAGGAGGCTGGGCGTGACCGCTTACCTTCGCTTTCTGGAGGACAGTGCCTTTGCCCGTGACCATGACCGAAAGAGGCCTGTTCTTGAGCGCTGTTGCGGAGTTGACCGGCGTACAGTCTGGCGCAGGGGTGGGGGCGGCAGGTTTGGGCTGTAGCGGTAAGAGGAGAGAGAGGCCTGAGCCAAGGGCAGGACGTGTGACCCGCTCCCCCCGGCCCCGCTCCGGGCGGCCCTGCAGGCGACTCCCGCCACTCACCCGGGGGCTCACGTTCTCCAGGTGGGTGGTGTCCACCGTGGTGCCCAGCGTCACGGGCCCGGCCTCCGCCTTCTTCAGGTTGTCCTTCACCTCCACGATGTTGAGCTCGAGGTCCACACGCCTTCTCTCCTCCACCCTGCACTCCTCGTCGATTTCCTTCAGCCTCTGCTCCAGGCTGGCCAGGACTCCCTTGTCTGCAAAGGGAATTAAGCTGGCTGCAGGGAACGGCACCCCTGGCGGGTGTGGACCACAACTCCGGCTCCCCACACTCAGAGCAGGCTCCGACGTCTGCATCCTGCAAAGGCTGGAGAGCGCTCTGGGGGAAGAGAGCTCTGCCTTCACCAGATGGCATGGGTCTGAGGTATTGAACCTTCTGGTAGGTTCTTCGGGGCTCTCCGTTGTTTTGATACCTGCTATTGTTGCAGCAGACCCCCAGGGAGAGAGCAGCTTTATTAATGACCCCTGGAGGATGGCTGTGCTGTTTCTACCTGCCCCACACAGTCCCCTCAATCCTTCTGGCACTCCGGGCTCCCCTAAGCCGATGGGGAGCGGTGGTCCTCAGCCCTGGCACTTCCTCAGTCCTGTTTCATTCTCCCCCTGGAGTGCTCAGGTTGGTACTCGAGCACCAGAAGAGGATGGCTCAGGACTCTCCAGCGAAGCCACATGGCACCATGGTTTCCCCCTGGCAGTGAGTTCTGGGCCAACAGCCACTAAGATGACGTATGCCTTCTTTCCAAACCAAGGGTGAGCAGTCACCTGTCACCCCTGTCTGAGGACAAGCAGGCACAGGGGCCGATGTTTAAGAAAAATTTATGGAGAACAAGCTGAGAAGATGTTATTGATGGTTTTGGAAGTGGAGTCCTAGATCAGTGGTCAGTATCTGTGCTTTGAGAATTACTTTCTTTTGCTCTGTGGCCTTATTAGCTTAGGATCTTCAGGCCGCTTTGCCAGGAGAATAAACTGTAGTGGATGTTTTCTCTTCTCCTGCCCAGAGAATCCACATGGGAGAGAAAGGGCCGGGGCTCCCTGCCCTGCCTCTCTGCCCAGCTCACGCTCCAGGTTTGCAAGGACTGTCGGGGATGAGCCTCTGGTCATGCTCGTGAGCACACGTCCCAGCTCTGCAGTCTCGGCTGGGCCGAAAGGAAACCGAGCCCCCGTCAGGAAGCAGATTAGCGGTTGCCTAGGGATCCGAGGGTGGGGGGAATGGGGAGTGACCGCGAACAAGGATGGGCGGCGAGATGTTCTGAGGGTGTCTGGTGCTGATGGCACAGACCGGGGAAGACTCTAAAAACCACGGCGTTGTACACCGTAAATGGGGCGGTTGTACGGGCTGTGACCTGTAGCTCACTAAAGCTGTTCTAGGACAAAGAAAGTGGGTGACTCTGGCAGAGGAAGGTCATGGGAGCACAATCATGTTCGAAGCTTCCAAGGAATCAGCTGGGGTTGTCCCCAAACCTGCTTCCGCCACTTGCACTTGTGGGTGCAACTCTGTAATTTACATATTAAATAAGCACTGAGATGGACTCTATGAAAATGAGGTTAAGTGCTTCAGAGGGTCCCCTAAAAGGCAAGTTTCTTCTAGGAGATGGCTGCTGAGTGATGGGGGAAGCATCTGGAAAATCAGCTACACGGACTCGGATTTCTTTGCAAGTGTCTTAAATTTTTGTTCACTTTAATGAAATGAAGACTGGGGATGCTGGACAGGGCAGGGGAGCACCCACCTGCACCACAGATGGACGGGGCGAAGGCTAATGGGCCGCAGGCAGGTGCACAGATCCGGATTCTTCCTGCGGAGAGCCCAAGCCCCCTGCCTGCCCCCCTCTACCTGGGAGGCCCCTCACCTGTGCATTTTAACACGGTCTCTCTGAGCTCCCGTTTCTCTTTCCGGAGTTGAGCCAGGTGCCCCCGGATTTCTTCCTTCTTCTTCTCCAGCCTCTCTTTCTCCTCTGTGTACCGCTTTACCTCAGCTTCTGTCCTATTCTTGCCAAGTTTGATCTCTATGGACCCAGAGAGGAGAAGCCCCAGGTCAGCCAGGCTGGGACACAAGGGCCGTCCCAACGTCCCCGCCAAGGCTCAGACACAACCCGAGGCTCTGGCAGTGGGTTGAGGTGAACACCAGGCCAGCCTGGCAGGGACAGACAAGGAAACTGGGCCCACACTTTCTCTGCTGTGTGACCTTGGGCAAGTCTCTTCACCTCTCTTCACCTCTATTCCTGCGTCTGAAAGGGAGGGAGCTGGACTAACTTCTCAAAGCCATTTCCAAACCATCAACTCTTATCTAACACAGGCACCTGCTGTGGTCACCCTCAACCTGTCCTTCACAGGTGGGCTGGCCCCAGCCGGGGCGACGGCCGCAGTATCGGGGCAGCTCGACGGGAAGGAGACTTTCTGCTGTTCAGTCTGGACTTTGACTGTTGTGGTTCTTGGGGAAGGCTCCTGGGGCTCTGGACTCTCCTGCCGCGGCATCTGCTTTGGGAGAAAGCAAACACGGCTCAGCCGGCCCAGGGGCTGCGAAGGCGGGGCCAGCCTACCTGCTGGGGGACGACCTTACCTGCAACTCGGGGTTCTCTGGAGACTCTGCCAGGGGCTCATCTGGGGCAGGGCCCGGGTCTGCAGGGAGAGTCTCGGCTGGGGGGTCCGGGTGGGATGGCGGCGGGGACTGGGCCCGAGCCTGTGCACCACCGGAGCTGTGCAGAAAGGACTTGACAGGTGTGAGGTCCAGGTACACTCGGTCGGGCTGGGACTCGCCTGGGGCCTCTGTCACAGGGGCAGCTTCCTCGGGAGTTTCCACCTGCAGAGAAGAGACAGTCAGGTGGCTTTCACCTTCGCCTCTGCCCGCTGGGCTGTGGAGGGGGCGCCAGACCTGCCTCCTGTCCGTGCCCCGCGCTGGAGTTCACAGGGACCCCCCTCCTGGGGAAGCTTCCAGTGAGCTGGACTTAAAAGGCCAGGGTTCAAGTCCTGGCTTTGCCATTCAGGAGGTGGGAGACCCAGGACATAATATTTACTCTTCCTGAATCTCATGTCTTGATCTGTAGAGAAGAGACTAGTGCACATCCCTGTGGGGCGGTGAGGATTAAATGAGACAATCCACAGAAGCCCTCAGCGCGGCACACAGTCCCGCGCCCAGTAAGTGGAACCTGCCGTCACTATGATTGTTCACTATCAGTTTGGGCCTCAAAGGTTAATGGTGTTACTGTTCCTGATCCCAACTCCTCCCACCCCTCACCCTGCCCGGGGTGGTTCACCAGCTATTTGAGCTAGACAAGTCCCCAAGCCAGGTGCACTGCACACAAGGTGGCCTTGTTGCACTAGGTTCTTGCACCCTGCAGGTGACTTGGAATCCACCCGTCCTAGGGACCATCTGCCGATCTCTGGCATCGAGGTTTGGTGAGGGGAGGACGGGACAGCCCAGGTCGCTGCCCAGCCTGGGTCCTCACCACAGCCGTCAGCTCCGATGTCTCCACGTCGTCATACAGCATCTCCTGGTGGTCCTGTCTGGGCAGGCCGTCAATGTAAGTGTTCGGCTCCGAGAACTTTCTCTGCATCAGTCTGGAAGACCCGGCAAGACAAAGCGAGAGGCGGATGAGGACAGGGCGGTGAAAGCCACCAGTCTCCAGGGATTCATGACAATAAGAGGTGCGGCAGGAGCTGCAGGCTGTGCGGGAGACCTGGGCACTGGCATCGACCTCATTTTCAACTTTGTTTAGGGTTATCTCCTCCCTCTCTTCCCAGGCCCTTCTTACTGGAACTCCCAGTTCTGAATTTCTCTTCCAGGAAAACAAACTTCCCTTGCCCCATACCCCTCCTCTCCGGATCCTACTGCCTTCTCGCCCGGATTCCTCCCTTTTAAGACCTCCTTCCAACCACGAAATCCTTTCTTATGTCATCACGATGCACTTGGGCAGCCCAGCCCAGGCACCTCCCTGGTTCTGCACACAGGAAAACGGATCCCACTGCGGCGGCTAGGCCAGCTTCCACGAGAGCTCCCCCCCACCACCACCCTAACCCAGGAGCGCTTCTCCCTGAGCCCAGTCCGCTTGCCTGGAAAGCAGAAGTATGGACCCTGCATATTCCAGAGTGGGCTAGGACTCCACGGGGGAGCAGTAAGGAAAGCGGATGGTCAGGAAAGGCACCAACTCTGCCGTAAGGAGTTGGAGAGCGTCCACCAGGACGAGGGTGCTATGCGCCCCCCACCCCCAGGCCTGGCTCAGCTCCTCGCTGCTCCCGGGCCCGGGGCCTCCCGCTGCCAGGTAGAACTGGGCTGACCCTGGGTTCTCAGCTGCCGCCTGCATGACGGAACAGGCCACGGGAGGCCAGCCTGGGCCCACATCTTGAAGCGTGGCTGGGAATCAGAGGGTGCAATGCAGCAGAGCCCCTTAGCACTCACAGCAGAGAGGTTTTGGCCGCACTGACGATGCAGGAGACCCTGTCGGCATCCACGTAGTCGTAGGTGAATTCTTCCGGGTCTGTCTTGGAGCCTGACTCAGAGAGCAGGAGGCCTAGCCAGTGGCCCATTTCCTCAGAAGACTTGGCCTGGAGGAGGCCGAGAGGGACATGAGCAGAGCTGGAGTGTGCCGTGTGGTGCCCAGCCCTCCTGGCCAGGCCAGCAGCACCCCCACCCCGATGCCCAGGCCTCAGAGAGAGGCGGGGGCCACGCGCCCTCACTGTCACTAGCTTATCTCATCCCTGTGCCTCCAAACATCTCCTGCCCCTGGGGATACCTTGCTGCCCCCTCGCTGATGCTGTGAACGTCTGTCCCAAGTACCAAATGTAATTCACGGACACGTATTTCTAGAAGGCTAATGAGCCCGGAGAGCATGCGTTTGAGGTTGACGCCTCTATTTTATAAACTATCACGTGGCAGTCTATCACCCTAATCCATATATACAAGACCAGATCCCTAGTTCAAGTTTATTTTTGTCTACAGTTTCAATAAAGCCAGTCTTAGGATAAAGGGTATCTTAAGTACCTGACACCGAGTCAGCTGGCTCTGATAAATAAGGAAGTAAATCCCGGTGAAGCTGGAGCTGGGACAACGCAGTCTAATCCAGTACATACACTGGGTATCTATTAAAATGCCAACTCTTTCTTGCCTTTTTAATGAGAAAACATTGGGAATTCTATGAAGACTCCAGGTTTACTTTCACGAGGAGAGCTTCTCACTGGCCTGACACCACTCAGCTGTCCTGCCTCATCATTACTCCGTGGTCTTCATCAGAGAGGCATTTGACGAAGAGCTGTGAGCGGAGCTCGACACCGAGCTGCTCTCCGTCTCCTGTTCCTTTTCCAGCGGGCGTTTCCATCAGCTTTACGTGGGCACCCTTAGCTCCAGCCACCACCCTCTCTGCCCTGGGCAACTGTGACCGCCTTCTTACTGGTCTCAGCGTGGCCCTTCTTGTGGCCCTCCCATCCCTTCCCCTGCCCAGCAGCTGGAGGAAGCATCTCGCAATCCCAAGCTGAGCAAGCCGCCGTCCCCTGAAACCCTCCAGGGCGCCCCCTCGCTCTGAGGATCAACCCTCCCAGCCTCATCGCACAGCACCCCCAGCCCGTGGGGCTTTTCCACAGTTCACAGCACCCACCCCACGGCTTTCCAGCAGCTGTAACTAAGTCATCCACTGGGTAATTTGTTGAATAACATCTCAGTCTCACACTAGAATCCAAGTTCCATGACTGCGTATCTGTCTTGTTCACCACATTACTGTACTGAGTAGGTATCTGGCAACAGGACAGCTGGGTGGATGAACACAAGCTTGTCCCCGGGCTCCCCTCCGGGAAGCAACTGGAATGCAGAGCTTTGAGCCACCAGAGGGCAGTATTGGAGCACAATTTGGAGGAAGACCCCCAGCAGGGAGAGGACCAGGTGAACGGGGTGAACCAGGGACGGTGCTTCCCTGCGCATGTCAGGAACTCTGGCTCAGGCCTGCCCCTGCTCAGTGCAAGGCATTAGGTCACCTCTTATTTTTGTAAATGTAACATCACATCAAACAGAGGGTGGGGAGTGGGAGAAACATCATTGTATCACAAACCTCATTCTTCCCCCAGATAAGCACTAACAATCGTGGTCTCTATGTCCGGGCCCCATCTGGTGATACACAAACCAAATCAAACCCACTGTGAATCCCCAGAAGGTTTTTCAAGCAGCTCAGGGAGTTATAAATACTCCTGCCCTCGGTGCAGGAAGTAGCTCATTGTCCCTTTCCTACAACCCAACCGCTCTGAGGTCAGAAAGGGAATGGAAATTTTTTTTTTAAATGCAAAGAAGTAAAACGCAAGAGAGTAAAAAAAAAAAAAAAAAAAAAACCCTCAAAAAAAAATGCAGGGCTACACTGCCTCTCCGATTGTAGGATGACGGTCTGTGAAGCGCAGCCAACAGCCCGGACCCCCGCGCCCGGCCTCCCCGCACAGGCCGGCAGTACCTCGAGCTTGGCCAGCTCCTCGCCGCGGTGGAGGATGCGGAAGGAGTACAGGTGGTCAGGGCTCGGGTCTGGGACCACCTCACAGCCCACCAGGCTGAGGGGCTGCTGGGCGACCTTGTTCCGGTTCCGGTCCTGGTAGAAATGCAGGTGACTGTCCCTGACGGAGCACCAGCGTGACTTCCACTGGCTGTTCACCAGCACGTTCAGGTAACCTGCAGGAGGGGACAAGGGCGTCCACGGCTGTCACCGCGTCTGGACCTCCTGGAATCTTCCCCAGAATCTCCATTCCCAGACCCGTCACGCTTTGCCCGAGGAGCGCTCTCACCTCAAGGAGGCTGGGGATCTCAGCACCTTCTTTGCCCTGCCTCTGGGTGCGTGGCCAGACCCTTGGAAAGTGGACCGCAGGGCTCTGCTGCGTTTCCGACTAGGTCTGGCCCGAGGGGAGGGAGGCGTGTCGCTGGCCAGAGCAGGCTGGCTGGGTATGTGTGCAGGACGGGGCTCCCCGGCCTCATGCCCCGCCGGAAGCAGCCCTCCCCGCCCTGGTCACTTAGGCCACGTGCAGCCAGGTCCCCAGCCGGGGTCGCCCCACTGCAGGTGCAGTCAGCTCCCCGGCCTCTAGAGCCTTAGCTTCCTCAGCGTCCCTGACACACGGCCTTTCCATCACCCGGTCACTCAGCCTCAGCCTGCAAAGCCCTCCTCCCCTTGGCCGGCTCTCTCTCATCCGCCCAAATGCGGCTAGACTTACTTGACCCTCCCTGGGGCCTGCACGCCCTGCTCGGCCTCCCTTCGGGACCTCCGGATCCCAGAACAGTGAGACCTGCTTCCATGTCAGCTCCCCCAGCAGATACTGAGCTTCTCCAGGGCAGGAACTTGCCACCTTCCCCTCCAGTGCCCAGGGTACGAAGCCATGCGACAGGTCACAGTGCGCGGCCACGTTCCCACCCACCCAGTGCTGAACATACAGCGGGGATCATGAGTTTCTCAGAGCCACATGAACAGTAGCACAGAAGAATTCAAGCTCAAGCGCTAGGAATTCTGGCTCATCCAGGCAAGTACCCCACTTGCCCATCACAGTTCTCTGGACCGAAGAGAACTCTGGGTCAAGAAAGCAGGGAGCGCAGATGCCAAGTCCTGGGAAGGAGAGCAACTATGTTCTCTGTCACCCTTCCCCAGCCACAGGGGACAGGAGCACGCTTCTCTGCTGGAGAGGCTTTCAGCAATAATCCAGCCACATCTCGCAGCGACTCACTGAGGCCAGCTCTCTGTGCCAGTGTGCCCCCCGAGGCTGCAGGCAGGGGCCGGCAGAGCTGGGTCACAACCCCGGTGTCCTGGCCAGCGAAGCAAGGGGCTCCAAAGGGCAGGCCCCATCTGCTGACCTCCCATTCCACCCACCCACCCTGCCGGCCTCAAAAACTAGAACTGGACTAGGACTTGGGAAAGGGGCCCAAGGCTGGGACACGGGTTCCACGAGGAGGAGGAAAAGGCCTCAAGGTGGACAGTAGCAGCCTTCGGGCCCCGGGAAGAGCTCTGAGCCATGAGTCCCAGGTTGGGGGCCCGGACAGAGGCTCCCCCCGGGTATTTTCTGGGAAAGGCCTCAGTTTCCTCAAGACAGAATGAGGGGAGTAGAGATGACCTCTGTGAGCCAAGCGGCACCCAGACACACCCTCTGTACCAGCAACGTGGGCTTCCGTTGTCCCCTTAATGGTTCTCACTGTCCCCATCTCTGAGTCCTAGCTCCTGCCCAGGGTGGTGGGGGGACGCCACCTCAGCCCGCTCAGCCCCTGCCCGACCTTCAGGGCTCAGATCCAGGAAGCCCCCTCTGACCTCGGGGAAGGAAAGGTTCCAGCCCCGAGTCCGTACAGCTGAACTTTCTGACAGTTCAGGCCACATGCTTCGGGGTCGGAAGCCACCACGGCGCTTGGGCTGTGAGCTCTCAGGACCATGTTCTCCCTCTGCCTGGTCCCCCTTCCCTCGCACTGCTTGCCATGCTCCTTCAAGACTGATCAAAGGCACATAACTGTTCAAAGACCACGGGGAGGACAGCAGTCGGGGACCAGTCACTTGCACAAAGGATCGAGCACTGCAGCAAGACCGGGGCCGGTGAGGCGTAGTGAACCACCCGCAGGGAAGGGGGACAGAAACGGGAGCCGCAGGGCTGCCGGCCCTAGAGATGCTTAAAGCAAGCCCTGAACCCTCCGCGTGCGCTGTCCCAGCCGCCTTCCCGGTTCTTACTGGATGTCTCGAGGGACCGGTCCGGAGGCTCCAGCGAGGTAGATTTCTTCCTGCCCAGATTCATTAGGTTGCTCAGTTTGAGGCCAGGGGAAGATTTCTTCTTGACTGTCGAGATGAGAGAAAAATCTGTCAGCATTGCACACAGCCCGCTGACACGCCGCGAGGAAAAGCGGGGACGGCACACCCGTTCCCGCTGCCTCTGCCCCTCCGTGTGTGCACACACACACGTGCACACATGCGTGCACGTGCGTGCAAACACGTCTGCCCCCCAGACCAGGAGCCACAGTCCAGGGTCAGGTATCCCTAGAAACACACACTCAAGAGAGGGACACCAACTCCATTTTTTAAAAAGATAATTTCTATTTTTTAAAAAAGATACAGGGCGCCTGGGTGGCTCAGTTGGTTAAGCGACTGCCTTCGGCTCAGGTCATGATCCTGGAGTCCCGGGATCCAGTCCCGCATCGGGCTCC